AGCAAGATTCCGGCAAGAAGGGTGATGGGGATATTCTCAATCACTCCATCTGTAGCCATCTGAGAGAAAAAGATATGTGCAAGAGAAGCCATCACATCAAGAAAAAACTGTGTAAAGCCACATGCGGTACGTACTTCATTATTTTTTATTTACCTTGCATGATTTTCCTTTTTGTCATGATATTTTATACAAATTAAAGTATATCAAATTTGTCGATAACTATACTAGGGGTTCGGCGGGTTATGAGCACTAAACTTAAAAATCGATTAGTGTTTGTTGTTTTCGAATATATATATATCTTTCTTAAATTCCCAAGTTATGATATTCAGCGTGTCTTTAGGTATACAGTTGTGTAAAAAAGATAAGACTTAACGTATTCTAAACTAAAATGGGTTTTTCCAAATTAGCGATTTTTAGTAAATTTTGTTGTTTTTTGTCGGGAAAAAAAGAAAAACTGTGAAAAACAACCACTTTGAACTGAAAATAAAAATAAAATGTGAAATCTCTACATATTTCTAAACGTTTATTTTTTGATAAGTGCAAACTATACAAAACCCACATACAAAATTGACAACTCAGAAATTCTGAATGATCGATTGACTCAGAAATTCTGAATGGTCGAACGACTCAGAAATTCTGAATGATCGAACGACTCAGAAATTCTGAATGATCGAACGACTCAGAAATTCTGAATGATCGAACGACTCAGAAATTCTGAATGATCGAACGACTCTGAAATTCTGAATTATTTTAGTATTAATGTCAGTTATTATAAAATTATTTACTTTACGATTTCCTGGCCATTTATTACTTAAAAAATAATAAATTTACAAAAGCAGTAAGAAAACATCAACAATACACAGTATAGCAGAAAAACCGTGAAAAAGTGTATTATTCGAATTAAACTAGATCAATAAAATGGATCAGAAAAATTGAACTAATAACATGGTAATTTGGGTCTCTTCTTGAACATATGAAATAGAAATATCACTCGTGATATTTATTCCAAATACCACTACATGCTATTACCTACACAAATATTAAAATATATAAAAATTTTCTTGAGAAGCCGTACAGTAAGGCCACTTGAACCATAAAATAGAAACTATATATAAGTTTAGTTTTGACTAGCTTCGCTAGCGTCAGTCATATTTCATAGTAAAAACATTCTTTGATCCATGMCATATCATATCTAATTGATTTTGATGTTCTTCATCAACATCATGCCTTAGACACCTTGCCTCTTTGACTTTAAGGCACCAACAACTCCATGACCTGTAAATTAAAGCAAACATAATGAATTTAAAATTGAGTTTTCAATAATATATATTAGTTATGTATGATGATTGTTGCCCAAATANTTTAAGAACGAGGAAACAATGAGCATTGTTTTATTCCTCCAATCACAAGAAACCTTAGAAATTCTTGTGCACAAGAGAGGCACAAAGCTTTAAGGGACAACGAACCATGATATGCTACGTAGCGGTGTTTTTAACAGTTCTTGTGTTCACTTGTAGGTTGCGATGACATGATCTCACAGAAATCGTGTATCGTCCTGAAAAGATTCAATGAATGCTCCAAAAACTTGGCAATGCGCATGCGTTATTGCAAGTGGACATGTGGATTATGTTGTAAGTATTACATCCATTTAATTTTACCTATAATACCTATTCATTTTGTTTAAACCTATCAGCCTCTGCTGGATCGTGAGTATTAGACCTGTTGTGTTTTGTTTTAAGACATATTTTCAAAAATTTGAATTGTTTGTCATTACACAGATAACTCTCGATGGGTTAATAATAAATATTAAAAGTAAAAAACATAAATAATTCATAGCATGCCAATTGGAAAGACCACTTGGGATGCAGAGCAGAGATATTCCTGATTCGAGTATCACCGCGTCATCGATTTATAGCTCACATCATCCCCCACCACAAGGAAGACTTCACATTAGGCCATCTCGTGGCAAGTCTGGATGGTGTGCAAAAAGAAACCGAGCAGGAGAATGGCTCCAAGTTGACTTGGGCAAGAAAACCAGAGTTCAAGGTGTCGCAACACAAGGTCGATACAAGGATAACCAATGGGTGAAAAGCTACACCCTGCAATACAGCAACAATGGCAAAACCTTCAAGAAATACCAGGGAGGCAAAGTGTTCAAGGGAAACAGTGACTGGCACACCGTTGTCAAGCATAATCTAAATCCCCCGATTTATGCCAGGTACATCAGGGTAGTAGTCAAGACATGGTATGGTTGGGTGTCAATGAGAATGGAGCTGTATGGGTGCAAAAACTGAGGTAAAATTTCCTCTGCTGCTATGCAAATATTTACTTGTTCCGGCTTTACATGTCCGGGCTTTATTTTGTACTCATTCACTGTTTTTTGACTGCTTCAAACGGTATCGAGTTTGTGACTGGTCACCAGTCCCTTTTTGAATTCTGAACGGGCAATTACCCGTTGATGTCAATCATCGAAGCTAAAAACGGATATGGAATAAGAAAGTGCTCAGAAATTCAACTAAAACCAACCTAAACATATTGTATACATTATACCATTAAGAGAACGTCTTTCCATTCAGCACATGCAATCTTTTGACTCTGAAAAAACTGACTGCTTTACTCATAAGATTTGCTTTCACATGCTCCCTTTCGGTCTTAGATTTCATGACGTAACCTTTTGGAACCCGAGTACTTGCATAATGATCGTATTAACAAACACGTATCATTTTAATACTGAATTAAATAATCATCATTGTTTTGATTTTATTTAATGATTGTCATGGTTTGTGTTTCAGTTCGTCATAGTATCTGATGCTGACTATAGTAAACACGTGAACAATGGAAAAACAAGCAAAAACTAACGTTAAATTAAGGTCTTTAAGTAGCGTTTAAGATAATTATGTAAACCAAAACAATWAAATAGTTGAAAGCACTTCATGCCACTGGTTCTTTGTTTTTTCTCATAATTGATTAAAACGAATTTCTAATCTTTTCACTACCTTCGACTACCGATTCCTCAACACCTATAAAACAGTATCAGTCTAATCTTTGAATACGTTATCATTTACCTGCTGCAATTGTTCTTGCTGTTCCTGCTATAGCTAGTGCTAATCCTATCGCTGCTCCTTCTGTTGTTACGCCTGGTACTACTGCTGTTGTTACTCCTATTGCTACTACTGCAAGCTCTTATGATTTGAAATAATTCAAAAGCGACATTTCGTGAGAGCTGAATGGCTACGTTTCAAAGATGTAACAGAATAGGAAAAAAGAAAGGTGAAACTGGTACAGGAACCAGAGCTCTCCTTACCCCTCCCTCCCTCCGCATTAGCGGTCTTAGTTATCATACTAACTTGACATTCTGTAGATCAGTTTACTTAAGCTGAGAGACGAACTTGCCGCTCAATAAATCATCGAAACTGCTACTAACTATTGATCACAACCAAAACAGCAACCAAGATATCTAACCTCAGAACCGTAAATCTAAACCTAATCTTGTGCGTTAAATTTCTAAAATTTCTTAGCCAGGGGGAAGTGTGCGTTGAAAAGCGAGCTGAATAATACAGTATTAAAGTGTGCTATTGAAATCATACAATGTCCCTAACTTAATGGCGGGAGTTATGCTCAATCATCTCTTTCTATAATATTGCTATAATACCAGGCAGGGTATCCGTAATAGCGGGCTGCCCGTAAAAGCGAGGTGTCTATTAGACGAACCTGAGTGTGGCGTTTGGTATGTTACTACTAGTGATAGTGTTTAGCTCTTGGAATCCATGCATGACCATTTAGACCCACCTATCAATCAAATGACCGAAAACTCGCAAAAACAAGAAAACTCTTTGGCTGAACACTAACTCATTTGATTTGGGCTAAACTAGTGTGCGGTTGGGTTAAAAAGACTTCATATTTTGATCGTTATATTTCGCCTATTTGAATCAAATAACGCCAAAGAAAATTGGAAACTGACTGACAAGATGATGAAACTCCTGATTTTGTTGGTGGCTTTGAGCAGTTGGCTCACTTTGGGCTTGCCTTCAAATGGTATGTTATGAAAATGTTGTAACGTTTTTTCACTGATTTCTTTTATCATTCATATACTTCTATCTAGAAAAAACATTCTTATAGAAAAATAGAACTTTGATATTTTATTGCAATAGGAATAACTAATGAAAAAGACAAAAGAAACTATAAACCCAGTCTCAACGCTTTTCATTGTCTTTTTAACATTTTCAAATTAAAAACGTTATCGAGTGCTTTCAGAAAAAGCACGCAACACCAATTACTAAATTGTGCAAAATAGTGCTAATTGAACAAATGAAAATAAAAGAATGAAAATAAAATAGTACAAAAAGGTATTATTTATTTTTCACGCTTTCACTAGAAGCACTCTATTTCTTTAGGACAACGTTTTTGTAATTAGGTTTAACTTAAGTTATCACTAATTCATCTTTTGAAATACCATTCGAAAATATAACTAACATTTAAGGATAACGAATAAAGTATTGAACAAGATTGTAATGTAGACATTCGCAATACGCAAGGACTGATAAAAATCATGTGTTTATATTGTAGGTATGATTCAGCAAGATTCCAGCAAGAAGGGTGATGGGGATATTCTCAATCACTCCATCTGTAGCCATCTGAGAGAAAAAGATATGTGCAAGAGAAGCCATCACGTCAAGAAAAAACTGTGTAAAGCTACATGCGGTACGTACTTATTTTTTATTTACCTTGCATGATTTTCCTCTTTGTCATGATATTTTATACAAATTAAATTATACCAAATTTGTCGATAACTATACTAGGGGTTCGGCGGGTTATGAGCACTAAACTTAAAAATCGATTAGTGTTTGTTTGTTTGTTTTTTAATATATCTTTCTTAAATTCCCATGTTCTGATATTCTGCGTGTCTTTAATACATAATCAAGCTAAATAATAATGGAAACCCAATCTGTTGTCTCACAAAATCACAGTTGCTTTTCATTTCGTTGTTGGAGGAAACTAGATTTTTTTCAGCACACTTTAAGAAGGGAGTCATCGCTTTAGGAAAAGAGGAAATTATTTCCAGTAATCATAAGACTAGGGTAGCCCTTCATGGTTTCTCAAGATCTTATCCGATTGGTTTACTAGATGTTTGTTGGATAAAAGAAAACAATAGAATTTAAGAACGAGGAAACAATGATGTTTTATTCCTCCAATCACAAGAAACCTTAGAAATTCTTGGGCACAAGAGAGGCACAAAGCTTTAAGGGACAACGAACCATGATATGCTACGTAGCGGTGTTTATAACTCTTTTTGGTTCACTTGTAGGTTGTCATGACATGATCTCACAGAAATCGTGTATCGTCCTGAAAAGATTCAATGAATGCTCCAAAAACTTGGCAATGCGCATGAGTAGTGGTAATAGGCCGATTCTGGCGCTTTTTTATAATCCTATTCTAGCGCCCACCCACATGGCTAGCTGCCCGATTTTTGGTTAAAAAACGCGCTTTTGGGTAAAAATTACCACTACTATGGGAGTTAATAATAGAGCGTTGATTTTAATAACGTTTCGCGTATTGTGAATAAGTTTTATATCTATYATATATAATGAGTCGCGTGAATGATGAATTTCAACTACTTACGGATGCTATTACTAGTCTTAGTAGAGATGATTTAACTGATATCTATACTAGAATTTCTGGAATTAAAAAGAAAGCAACGGCTATGCGCGGTTTTCTGAATACTTATGAAATAGAAGGTGGAAGGATAGCTCCAAATTTATTTCTAAAAAGGAATAAGTCTAAGGTGGTAAATTTAATAAATAGAAAAGAAAAGCCGACCAAATCTAATATAGTTCTAACTTGTGAGTTCTATAAAAGAAATCCAGAAGGAACTGTTTATTCACACGGAACTTTCCGTTCAAAAATAGAAATAATAACAGATTCTACCAATATTTCTAACATCTATGATAAGTGGTCAGAAGATATATTAGAAAGTTTCAGTAATTATCAAAATGCAGGATCCGGATGGATATTCAGAAAAATAATAAGCTTAGAAATTAATATCGATAAATTCGCTCCAATGTCGGGAAGCTCTTATTTACCTCTTCCAAAAGAGTTAATCCCAAAAAAGGCGATAATCAATATGAAGAACAAGGACAACGAGTGTTTCAGGTGGTCTGTTACTCGTGCGTTATATCCATCAAAACGGGATTTGGAGAAAGTTAGTAGCAAATTAAAGGAAGATTCAAAAAATCTTAACTGGAACGGCTTAGTATTTCCGGTAGAGATGGAAGATATTTCAACATTTGAGAATAATAATCCCTATGGTATCAATGTATTCGGATATAACGGCGAAGTCTATCCGCTTAGAATAAGTAATAGTGAAAATAAGATAATTAATTTAATGATGATTTCTGAAGGAAGTAAAAACCACTATTGCTGGATAAGAAACATGTCTCGGCTAGTAAGCAGGCAGGTTGATAATCATCAACATTATCGATTCATTTGCGAGAGATGTCTAAACTCTTTCAAATCGCAAGAATCTTTAGATAAACACTCAGAGTATTGTAAAAATGAAGATGCTATCAAAATGAGTCTTCCTAAAAAGGGAACAACTCTTAAATTCAAAAATTATAACCATTCTATGAGAGTTCCATTCGTAATATACGCCGACTTCGAATGTTTCACCAAAAGATTAGCGTCTTGCCAGCCAGATCCGACTAACTCGTATACTGAGAAGTTTCAATACCACAAACCTTCTGGATTCTGCTATTATCTGAAAACCGTGAATGACGTCTATGAGCCTAAAATGATCTCGTATACTTGCAAGGGTAATGAAGACGTCGGGCAAAAATTCGTAAATTCAATCGAAAAAACAGTTAAGAAACTATATTCCAATATTTGGTATAAAAAAGTTAAAATGACCGCCGCGGATAAAGAAAATTATAAAAATTCAAAATATTGCCACATTTGCGAGGGTGAGCTGAAGGAAGACAAGGTATTGGATCATTGTCATTTAACAGGAAAGTATAGAGGTGCGGCCCATAATTCTTGTAATTTAAATTATAGAATTCCAAAACATATCCCAGTTATATTCCATAATCTCGCCGGTTACGACGCCCATTTATTCATAAAAAATCTAGGCGTATCTGATGGGCCGATAAACTGCATTCCAAACAACGAAGAGAAATACATATCATTCAATAAATCAATAAAAATAGGTGAGTTCGAAAAAGATGGTAAAACATTTGAAATTAAAAGAGAAATCAGATTCATCGACTCTTTCAAATTCATGGCGGCTGGGCTAGACAAGCTCGTTGGAAATCTAAAACCTGAGAATTTCAAAAATATGAAGTGGATGTTTGATGATATTGAATTATTAGTAAGAAAAGGCGTATTCCCTTATGATTATTTTGATTCAGAAGATAAGCTAAAAGATGAATGCTTGCCGCCTAAAGAAGAATTTTACAGTAAATTAAATAASAAACATATTTCAGATTCCGATTACGAGCACGCGCAGAAAGTCTGGCGTGAATTTGAAATAAAGAATATGAAAGAATATCATGATTTGTATCTAGATTGTGACGTTTTATTGTTAGCCGATGTATTTGAGGCTTTTAGAGATGTTTGTATTAAAAATTACAAATTAGATCCAGTCTGGTATTATACCGCGCCAGGGCTGGCCTGGGATGCTTTGTTGAAATTAACAAAAATAGAATTAGAATTATTATCAGATCCAGATATGGTTTTAATGATCGAAAAAGGAATTCGAGGCGGAGTCAGTATGATTACGAAAAGATATTCAAAGGCGAATAATAAATATATGAAGGATTATGATCCCGAAAAAGAATCTATTTATTTAAAATATCTGGATGCGAATAATTTATATGGCTGGGCAATGAGCAAGCCGCTGCCGATTAGTAAATTCAAATGGATGAATAAGCGAGAAATTAAATACTGGCAAAGGCATCCATGTATTCTAGAAGTAGATTTGGAATATCCAAATGAATTACATGACCTTCATAATGAATATCCTATGGCGCCAGAGGATTTATTAGGAAAATTAATACCAAACTTAAATAATAAGRMGAAATATGTASTTCATCACCATATTCTGAAATTATATTTATCTCTAGGGATWARAATTACAAAAATTCATAGGGGTATKACATTTATAGAAGAAAACTGGATGGCTGAATATATTAAATTAAATACAGATCTAAGAACTAAAGCGGATAACGATTTCGAGAAAGATTTCTTCAAGCTTATGAATAACAGCGTCTTCGGTAAGACGATGGAGAATATTAGAAACCGTCAAGATATTAGRCTKGCAACCCGAAAAGATCAATTAAAGAAATTAACTTCGAAGCCYAACTTTAAAAGAAGAACWATATTYTCTGAKAATTTAATAGCGGTTCATATGGGGAAAACCCATCTTAAATTTAATAAGCCTATTTACGTGGGCATGTCTATTCTTGATATTTCTAAGTCGTTGATGTACGATTTTCATTACAACTACATAAAACCCAAATATGGRAATAGAGCTGAATTATGTTTCACGGATACTGATAGCCTTCTATACGAAATAAAAACCGATGACTTTTACAAAGAYATYTATCCTGATCTAGAAGCAAAATTCGATACTTCGGCTTATGGTAATCACCCAGTTATTGATAAAAAAATTAATAAAAAGGTTATTGGTCTTATGAAAGATGAAACATCAGGAAATGAAATTACAGAATTTGTYGGTCTGCGGGCGAAGTTATATGCTTATAAAACAGTTGAATATGTCGAAAAGAAATGTAAGGGGATCAAAAAGTCTGTCGTGAAAGATACTATTTCTTTTGAAGACTATAAAGATTGTCTATTCACGGGGAAATCGCAAATGCGGAAAATGAATGTTTTACGCTCAGAAGGTCATCAGATGTATGCCGAGACGATTAACAAAGTGGCTTTATCTGCTGAGGACGATAAGAGAATCGTATTAAAAGATCGAATCCATACAAACGCCATTGGTTACGTCGCATTTTCTGGAGGTAATTGAGTATCCGTCACAACCTGTAATTCTTCTCTAACGAAATTCCGTTTCGGAGCACCTTCTGATAAATAATATAAAACCGGCTGATTTTCCGAAAAAACAGTTTTATTTATATTAAAAGTATCCAAAGACCAATTAGGATCTGTAGCTCTCTGGCTATTACCACCCTCATATTCACCGGGCTGATATAAATACCTAACTGTTACACTAGCCGGCAATCTTTCTTCTTTTAATCCAACGGGTCTTTTATATGTTACGTGTTTTTCATCAACATTATTTAATTTAATAGCTTCTAAAGGGGTTTTACCTGTAATTCTTTTAACGCCGCTGTTAATAGATTTTATAACCGCTGGCAATCTTTTTACCCATTCACGATTCCTATCATCACTCGTCAT